CTATCTGCTGCCTATGAGAAATACACTTCATGAATAAAGATACATATAGATTAAAGAGAAGGACTGGAAAAAGATGTTCCAAACAAATGGAAACCAAAAAAGAGCTGGACTTGTGATACTGATTTCAGGCAAAAATAGTAAAGTTGTTCTTACAAAGTTGTAAGAAGAGAAAAAGAAGGGCATTATATAGTAGTAAAAGGGCTCATACATCAAGGAGATATAACACTTATGAATATCTATTCACCCAAATACATGAAATAAAGTCTCCTAGAGCTACAAGGGGATATAATCTGCAACACACTAATTGTTAGGGATCTCAACACCCTACTATCTCCCTTGAGCAGACTGTCTAGTCAGAAAATAAGCAAAGAAATATAGGATCTAAATGATACCACAAATTGAATGGGCTTGGCAGACATCTATAGAACTTTCTACCCAGATACCACAAAATATACATCACTTCTGCATGGAGCTTTTTCAAAGATTGTACACATTATAGGACACAGAACAAACGTTTACTAATTCAAAGGCATAGAAACTATATCCAACAGCTTCTCTGACCATTATGGAATTGAACTTGAAACTTCAGTTAAAAATAAAACAAAAACTCAAAAAATACATGAACACATACCAACTAAACAACCTACTCCTGAATGCCTTTACAACTAGTAAAGAAATTAAGACTGAAATGAAAAGATTCATTGAAACCAGTGATAATGAGTACATGAGTTTTCATAACCTATGGGACACAGCAAAAGGAGTTATAAGAGGAAAGTTCATAGCAATTAGTACATGTAAGAAAAAGATGGAAAGGTGGCACATAGACAGACAACTAGCACTATGCCTCATGACCTTGGAAAACCAACAACAAAATGCTCGGAGTAAAGAATTAATAAAGATTCAAGCAGAAATAAAAGAAATAGAGAATAAATGAACTATACAAAAAATAATTGAAACCAAAACCTGATTCTTTGAAAAGGTAAACAAAATTGACACACTGTTAGCTAGACTGATTAAGAAGGAGAAAGAAAGGAATCAGATAAACTAAACGCACATGAAACAGGCAACATTACAAAAGATATAACAGAGGATCAGCAGGTGGTGTGGTAGTTACGGCTCAACGCTCCCACATGGCTGACAATGGTTCGAGTCCCAGACCTGGTGGCTTGCTTTCTCACTTTCCCTCTTTCTCTCTGTATCTCTTTCTGGTCAAATTAAAATAAATGAATAAACAAAATTAAATAAATAATTCTTGAAAGAAAAAAAAAAAAAGACCTAACAGAAATACAAAAACATCCTTGGAGAATCCTATGAGTGACTATACACCAACAAATAAGAAAACTTGGACAGGATGGACAAATTCCTGGACACATATATTCTACCAAGATTGAATCAGGAAGACATAGAAAGCCTGAATAGGTCCGTAACAAGCAATGAAACTGATACAGTAATAAATAACCTCCCAGCAAAGAAAGGCTCAGGTCCTGATGACTTTACTTCTGAATTCTACAAAACTTTTTTTTAAAATTATTTTATTTATTCATTTATTTCTTAATTTACCAGAGAGAGACAGAGGGTGAGAGTGAGAAAGAGAAGAAGTGAGAAAGCAAGCCACCAGATTCAGGACTTGAACCCTGGTCAGCCATGTGGGAGTGTCCAGCGCCTTAACCTCTACAAAACTTTAAAGAAGAGACAATTTAAAGCTGGTCCCTCTACAAAACTTTAAAGAAGAGATAATTCCCATTCTATTCTGACTATTTCTAAAGATCCGAAAGGAAGGAACCCTCCCAAATTCATTTTATAGCCTCCATCACTCACATCCCCAAAACAGACAATATAAGGAAAACTACAGACCAATATTTCTGATGAATATAGATGCAAATATTCTCAATAAGATACTAGCAAATCTTATCCAATAACACATAAAAAAGATTATACAGTATGACCAGGTAGCCATTATTCCAGGGAGGCAAGGGTGGCTCAACATATGCAAAACCATAAATGTAATACACCATATTAACAGAAAGAAAGATAAAAACCATATGATATCATATCAATAGATGTAGAAAAAGCATTTGGTAAATACAACATACCTTCATGATTAAAACTCTCAGTGAAATCATCACAGAAGGGTCACAATAAAAGCCACCTATGAAAAACCCTATAGCTAACATCATACTGAATGGAGAAAAGCTGAAAGCTTTTCCACTCCAAAGTATGGAAATTCAGATGCTGGATTCCACATGGCCTGCTGCTGATTTGAGTTCTTGATCTAGTCAATGTGACCAGACAAAATAATAACATAAAAGGCATTCCAACAGGGAAAGAAGAGGTAAAATTATCTCTGTTTGCAGATGACATTATTGTATACATAGAAAACCCAAAGATATCCATGAAAAAACTTCTGGAACTTATAAATCAATATAGTAACTAGTGGTAGGATACAAACACAACATATAAAAAATCTATAGCATTTCTATATATAAACAACAAGCAGACTGAGGTAGAGTTGAAGGTAATCCCATTTACCATAATCACAAAAAGTATAAGATACTTAGGAATAAATCTAACCAAGGAAGTCAAAGACCTCTACAAGGAAAGCTATGAAAAGTCTTTAAAAAGAAATAGAAAAGATAATTATAGAATTTGTCTGGAATCATGAAAGAGCCTGTATTGCCATGGAACTTCTGCCAAAGAAGAGTAGAAATCATCACACTCCCTGACTCCAAAATACATTACAAAGCTGTGATAATCAAAATAGTATGGAACTGGCACAAAAACAGACATGTGGACCAATGAAACAGTATTGAGACTCCAGAAATAAACCCCAAAACAAAAAGCCAACTGATGTTTGACAAAGGCTATCAATCAATCCAGTGGGAAAAAGAAAACCTCTGTAGCAAATGGTGCTGGAAAAACTGGGTATCCACCTGCGGAAAGATGAAACTGGACCCATATCTCTCACCATTACTAAAAATCAACTCAAAATGGATCAAAGATCTGAACCTAAGACTTCAGACTATAAAACTACTGGTGAAAATGCAGAGGAAATTCTTGAAGACATCAGAGTAGGCAAAGATTTCTTAAATAAGATCCCCAAAGCACAGACAATAATTCCAAAAGTAGACAAATGAGATTACATCAGATTAGAAGCTTCTGCTCAGCAAAAGAAACAATACAGTGAATTAACAACCCTTAAAATGGGAAAATATTTTTGTAAACTATGCCTCAGACAAAGAACAGATAATTATAATATACAGGGAACTCAAACAGCTTACCTCCCACCCCCCCTAAAAAAATCAATCTGGGGCCAGCATGTGGCTTTGTGGTTGAGGCACTGGATTTCCATACTACTGCCTATGATTTGAGTTCTAGGCCTGGTGGCTTGCTTTCTCATTCCTCCTCTCTTTTTCTGGTCAAATGAAAGAATAATGGTAATAAATAAATTCAAACAAGTAATTCTTTAAAAAAATAACCAACCCAATTAAAAGATGGCAAAATGAGCTGAATAAACAACTCTCTGAGGAAGACATATGAAAAGCCAAAAAGAATTTGAAAAAATTCTCATCATCCCTTTTCATAAGGGAGATGAAAATCAGAACCACAAGGAGATACCACCTAACCCCAGTCAGAATGGTTAAGATTAGAAAAACAAAAGATGGTAAGTGCTGATGAGGCTGTGATGAAAAATGAACTCTTCTACACTGTTTGTGAGAATGTAACTTAATACAGCCACTTGAAGAACAATATGGAGATCCCAAAGCCCTACAAATAGAACTACCATATGATCCAGTCATTATACTCCTGGGTATCTTCCCAAAGGGCAGGAGCATTCTCATTTGGAAAAGTGCTTGCACATCTGTTTATTGTGGTATTATTCACAATTGCTGAGACATGGAACCAACCCAAATGTCCACAAACAGGTAAATGGATTGAAAAAATGTGGCACATATCAACTGTGGAATACTACTCAGCCATAAAAAAAAAAAAAACAAGACCCTGGCATCTGATAGAAAGTGGATGAATATGGAAGATTTTCTGCTGAGTGAAACAAATCAGTCTATGAAAGAGACATGGTATGTCTCCACTTAATTTATACCAACTGTCCACACTTTGTGGCAGAAACTTAAAGATTGGAGGATATAGACGAATGGAAAATGGTTGCAGATACCAGCTACAGTGTAGGAAGAGGTTGGGAGCTGGAGGAGGGTGAGAGAAAGGAAATCAAAGAGAAAAATGGAGGTAAGACATCTAGTGGACACAGAAGTGGAGGATTGTTAATGATAGTGTGTATGATAACTTTAAGTGGACTGGTGCACAGTGTGCTAATGCTGGAAAAATTTATTTTATAAACTGTGTTGATGTACAGTGATTAAGGGTATAAAATAAATTGAGAAAAGAGCAAGAAAAAGGAGGAGGAAGACAAGGAAGATGAAAAGATGAGGACAAGTGGGATGATGAAGATGAAGAAGGTGATGATGAATAAGTTGGTTTTATCACAGTTTTTTTTTTCTGATCTGCAAAGCATTTAACCCTCTGTACACAACTCACTCCTTTAAAAGTCTTGAAATATTGAAATGTATAATATTTGTTTTTAAACTGTACAGTGTCTTTTGTTGTATAGTTAACACACTACTGAAAGCATCTTTAAATAGCCCTGTCCTGGTAATCTTTTCAGTAAAGCACTAACCTTGCCTGGTACAGTATGGAGATTGGAAATTGGCATGGAAATTTAAAGCAGGTTCTTGTTGGTGCAGAGCACAAATTAGTTCTATATATGATGGTAGTTTTTTCATCTTTAGTTGTCCCTGATACAGCTTACACAAAATAATTGTTGTTCTGTTAGCTGAATACCACTCTATAATTGAAAAAAAGTTGCAGCTGTTTTGTTGACATTCTGAATGCTCCTAATACAATTTATTTTTTATAAAAAAGATTATATATTAGATCAAGTTAGTAAAGATGTGCCATTTTTGCCAATATTAATTATGTTTCTTTAGTTGTTTCTGAGACAGAAGTTTTACTAAAGGAGCTGGAGCAAATGCTACAGCAAGCATTAGAACCCACAGCGACACCTGATGAGTCTGAAGAAGATCGTGGAGAGGAAATAAACAGAGGAGAAAAGGTAGTATTAATCATTATTATCAGGCTTAAATAGCATCTTTAAATTCTTTAAATGGCAGAATTGTGCATGGTTGTACATTTTAATTATATGGAAAACTTTTTCCATCTTGGATAGTTTAGCCCTTGATTATCGTGAGGTAAATAATAAACGAGTAGCCTGTTAAGAAACCAGAATACATTTATCAGTGTTTGAAGAATATCAGGTTTAGGCAGAGGAGTTCTTTTAATTTTAGATTTCTGGAGTTGGAATGAAGAAGATAGAAGGGCTTGACTGTAGCTGAGAGGGACCACTACAGAGACCTCTTTTTCAACCTGCCAATCATTTCAGATGGGAAACAGAGCCAGGATAACAGCAACTGAAAAAATCTGCACTACCTGGTTCATGTGCCAGAATCTCCTTTATGAGGACACACTTCATTATCTGCATACTGGAGACAAAATTTTTCACTGGAATCAATTTTACTATTCTTATCTACATTTGTCCTTAATTTTTTTTTTTCTATCAGCTAAGCATCTTAGTCTCAGAAAAGCCATGTGTACTTAGTTTGTTTAGTGTCTCTGCAAATAAAGTAAGGATTTTTTTTTTTTTTAAGAAAGATTGTTGCTATAGGCTGTGTGTGCTTGTGAGACAGGGAGAGACAGACAGAGAGACAGAAAACCAGAAATCACCTCCCAGGGGGGATGGCCATGCAGCAACTCCTTCTCTATTCTCCCAGGATCTTGGGCATGCACACTCATGTGCCCGTCATGAGTTTTAAGCCACTGGGGCCAGGTGCTAACCGTAGTTGTCTATGTGGAAGTACAGTGACATAACTCCTATGCCATCTCCTGGTCCCTGAAGTAAGGATTTGTGATGCAAGCCCCAGTCATTAATACAGTCATTAATAGGCGTGAGAAAAATAAGTCATAGGACAAATACTTCCATGAGGTCTTGCAAGGTATTCTCTAAACAGAAAGAAAAATGACAGTGAGGAGTTGTATTCTTAAGGTTGTACTCATTCATTCAGGCTTATAGTGAGCCCAGGGTCAAGAGTGCACAGTAACAATGACTGGAATATTAGGCCTTTATCCCAGTCTTGGTCTTGCCACCGAGGACTTACGTAATTTGGGAAAGTTGTATACGACCTACACAAGAGGATTGTTTTGAGGATAAATAAGATGAACTAGGAAAAGTGCCTTGCATAGGAACAGATAACCTAAGGTTAGCTATTATTATAGATGAGGATTGGCAATGGCAATTGCTGGAAAGAGTAAGTACTAATTTTTTTTCAAATTTTGTCTTTCTTTTACATTCTCACTTTAAGCAACTATGCATCCTTACATCCGTCTGTTCTTAAATGCAGAAAAAAAGATGGCTTTAGAGATGGACATGGTGTTTACATTTTGGCACACTGCCCAATTACATAATTTCCTTCAGAACTTCAACAAGAGTAAAGTTTTGTTGTTTTTTGTTTGTTTGTTTGTTTGTTTTTGTTTTTGTTTTTTTTTTGAGAGAGAGATTTTTGCTATATGGTGCATGCATTCCTAAAAAGACAGAGACAGAGAGCTAGAGAGCAAGAAATCACCTTGAGAGATGGCCATGTCACAATCTCTTCTCCTCCATGGTCTTCTTGGAATTTTGGGCACATACCCAGCATAATTTTCTAAATCATTAGTTTAGGACTCAAACCACGGTTGGCTGTGTAGGAGTCCAACATATTAACCACCTATTGACCCCAAAGATGATTCTCAAATACCTCCTTTATTGACATAGAGATGAAGAAAATAGACCAAACTTGCCATTTTAGAGATAGATATATTTGAAGAAAATAAAATTGAAGTTAAAAACTCCTGCTGAGTAGGGCCACCAGGTGGCGTGGTGGTTAAAGTGCTAGATTCCTATAAAGTTAAGTATGGTTCAAGTCCCAGACCCAGTGGTTTGAAAATCACACTGGGCTTGTGCGTGTGTGCCCTAAATCCCAGAAGGATGAAGGTGAAGGGACTGTGGCATGGTCATCTACCCTGGGGGCTGATTTCTCACTTTCTCTCCCACTGTCTCTCTCTCTCTCTCTCTCTCTGGCAAGTGCATGTGCCCTACAGTAAAAACCTAAAGGACAGATGAAGAAACAAAAAACTCCTACTGAATTTTAAAAAACATGTTAGTTTTCTTTATTAACAGTAGCAATACTAATTTTCAGTCAGAATTTGCATGGGTTTTAGATGCCATTTTTTTCAATTAGGTTTCCTTTCTGAAAAAATTCATTTTCTATATATGAGCCTTACCTTTTATAAAACAAGATCTAGAGATTGGTGATATACCTCTTACAGACATACAGTTAATATATATACTAATTATTCTTTTCTAGAAAAAGTGTGTTTTGTTTGAGCGCCATATGGTTTTGTGCAATGTTTTTTCAGTCCTAGCAGTTTGTCTTTTCAAAAATACAGCCAGGTGGATTTTTATAGTGATGTCCTGGAGCTTTTACAGCTACAGAATTGGCTTCTATTTTGCCATTATAACTAGTAACTTGGTAGAAGAGAAGATTACTTCTGATTTTTATTTCTTGAGATAAAATACATAGCTTTAATACATCACCAGGCAGTTGCTTACTTTTTGTTTCAGATTCTTTATTATTTTATGCTTTCAAAATGCATTTAAAAATTGTAAAAAAAATTAACTATTTCAACTTACTGCCGGCAGGTAAGTGCCTCCTGCTGACTGGTTCTTTAGCCACTCGGCACACTGAGCTTTCTAAGTCTGGCATTCATACCAGGCTCAGTGTATTTAGGGCCTGCTCACTTTTAAACGAGGAGAACAGCAATGAAACCCACTATGAAGGCTGGAGCACTTTGCAGTTTAAAAGTAAAGAAATGATCACCTCTGGGATTTCATTCTTTTTTTTTTTTTAGTTGTTGTTGTTGTTGTTGTTGTGATTACAGTTAATAACGCTTCTGAAGGCAATTCCAATTAGAAGCAGAGATATGTTTTGTTTTCAGGAGAAAAATGGCCTCTTACAAGCAAGCTAAAATGCCAAAAAGAGCCACCGGATAATGTTAAAGTCCTGAGCATGTTGATTCCCTGAGCACATTTCATAAGAGCTGTTTCCAAAGTCACTAATTTGATGATGTTTTCATCATTCATTTCACCTATGAGGTTTCAGTTTGATTATTTACGTGCATTCTCACCATTGTATGAGAGTATGAGAGTAGCAACGTGGAAAAAGGCATACACACATGGATAATCAAAACTCATTTCGATTTGCCATTGAAATACTTTGTAAGATTTTTCCCTCAGTAGAGTCACTTTCCTAATTATGTTCTTCTTTAGCTAATATTAACACTGGTTGACATGCCCTGACTTGGCAAGCAATGGAAGGAAATTAATTTTAGATTTTTATAAATCCACCTGAATAATTCACAAATTGGATAATCCTTATGAAAATAAGGCCACAAATTGGATAATCCATATGCAAACAAGGCAGAGTTTACTGAGTTACTGTTCATATTAAAAGGTACATTTTTGATATATGAAAATACTTGTATGAACTATGCGTATATTTTTTTTCTTTTGAATTACGTAGGAGGTTTACTATGCCGCTAATGAACCTTGAAATGATAAATGTCATGTGTTCAAATGTGTGTGTTTTCTCTCTAATCTAGAGAAACTATCATTATTTATATGGGGTACAGATTCTTATGAGAAGATAATCACAGAAAATGTGACTAAAACAGTTTAATATATCTATAATAATAACCTAAAAATAATTCCTTTTAAAATTATTCCCTATAATAATAATTTTAAAATAAACCAATATAGGAAACACACAAAATTAAAATCATCACAATTTTTCAAAGTATAAAATTAAAACTAAAAATGAATAATATTGGGGAATAGAGACAGAACATAAATAATAAATTATTCTTATATAATATATATACTATATATTAAACTAGATGTGACGATTTTCATTATACTGCTAACAGAAAACTTTGTATAACTATTGTAGTTTAAGGAATTATTGACTATGTTTTATTCAGATAATGAAGTAAATTTGTGGTTCTGACAAATTATATGGTTCTTTTTTGCAGTTATCTAAATGCAGCCCTGAAGCTTCTGCAGACGGTCCATTTGAAAACTACTATGAAGAGGACTATCTTATAATTGATGGGATAAAATTAAAAGCTGGAGAATGTATTGAGAATATAACAAACAAGTTTAAAGAAATAGATGCTTTAATGTCTGAATTTTAGAGCCTTATATATATTTTCAAAAGTGAATTTGGAAAACATTGACATCTTTTTATTTTCTTGAAGTCAAAACTTAAAGATATTTAGTAAAATAGTAAAATAGGTATACATTATACCAAAACTAATATTTAAAATAACTTTCTACTTTATATTTTGTGAATGTCCATGGTTTCAAGAAAGGGTTAAAATTAGAATTTAAAAACTCCTAATGTTTTTGTTGGTAGTATTTTTTCTTCTTTGCTCTGACTTTAAATATTTTATGAGACTTACCTCACAAGCACTTGCTTTACACTGGTCATGTAGGCCCTTTCTTCAAATGTGGCGGTTAAAATGGCTGCCAAAACTGTTTCAATTCTTAGCGATTCAAATCTAGTATTATTAGAGAATATATACTTGTAGTGGCATTAAACTATTATAAAATAAAGGAAATGTTTTTAAAAAGGTAATATAACAGAGTTGGAACTTTTCTTAAAAAAACAAAATGTCAATTGCCTCATTATATTGGAACAGTCATTTCAACCATGATTCCTAAAACTAACTGCTTAACAGAGATGTCTGAGAGACTTTAGAAGATCAGAATCCTGGACTAAGTCAGTGTCTCTGTAAGTAAAGATTGGAAAATGTAATTAAAATGTATAGAGGGAAGTTAATACAACTATATGGGAAAATACAACTATATGGAAAAATAAAAAGTACATCATTTTTAAGGGATTCTCATGAACAGTTTCTGTGGGTGTCCTTCTAGATCTTCTTCTATGTGCATCAAAAGGTACAGGCATGCGCACCCATCTCTAGCCCCAACTCTGGCTCTCTCTGTGCCTCTTTTTCTCTGGGGTGTGTGTAGGGGGGAAAGGGGAGTGACATTGTAAGCACATAAAAAACAAAGCCAAAACTTGAGGAGAGAAAAAAAATATGCATGAGAGCATCTGTGTCCTGCTCTTGGTTGAATTAGCTGGAGTGATGTTTGATGGCGAGAAGGAAAGCCACAGCAAATCAGGAGGATCATCTACACATACCAAAAAACTTAGAATATCTCTTGAAAACTCTAAGGACTAATTGAAGAAATATAAACAGTGGAATCTCTTTGACATTTCAGAAAACTCAGATCTGCTACAGTGTGGAGAATGGAGAGAAAGTGTAATTTTAGAGGCCAGGGGCAGGTCAGGAGACTACTTGAGGAATTTCGTGTGAAAAGACAAGAGTCTGAATTATGTTGGTGCTTCGGTAGAGATAAGTGGGTAGATTCCAATTAAATTAAAATAAATGGAGTATAGGATTTGGAGGTTGAATGTAGTTGTGAGACAGAGGGGAAGAAATCAAGGATGACTCCAGGTTTCTGGTGTTCACAATGGTGAGACAGGAATCCATACAGATTAGTTACAAGTCTCATCCAAGCTGTGTGAGTTTGGCAGAAATTCTAAGCTATTCATGCTTTGATAGAAATTGCATTTTCGACTACGCTGAGAACCATAGTGATGAGGAATAGTCTCTCAACGCATTGTCTTTAAATTCTGTTGTTGTTGTTGTTGTTGTTGTGATTACAGTTAATAAGGCTTCTGAAGGCAATTCCAATTAGAAGCAGAGATATGTTTTGTTTTCAGGAGAAAAATGGCCTCTTACAAGCAAGCTAAAATGCCAAAAAGAGCCACCGGATAATGTTAAAGTCCTGAGCGTGTTGATTCCCTGAGCACATTTCATAAGAGCTGTTTCCAAAGTCACTAATTTGATGATGTTTTCATCATTCATTTCACCTATGAGTTTCAGTTTGATTATTCTCGTGCATTCTCACCATTGTATGAGAGTAGCAACGTGGAAAAAGGCATACACACATGGATAATCAAAACTCATTTCGATTTGCCATTGAAATACTTTGTAAGATTTTTCCCTCAGTAGAGTCACTTTCCTAATTATGTTCTTCTTTAGCTAATATTAACACTGGTTGACATGCCCTGACTTGGCAAGCAATGGAAGGAAATTAATTTTAGATTTTTATAAATCCACCTGAATAATTCACAAATTGGATAATCCATATGCAAATAAGGCAGAGTTTACTGAGTTACTGTTCATATTAAAAGGTACATTTTTGATATATGAAAATACTTGTATGAACTATGCGTATATTTTTTTTCTTTTGAATTACGTAGGAGGTTTACTATGCCGCTAATGAACCTTGAAATGATAAATGTCATGTGTTCAAATGTGTGTGTTTTCTCTCTAATCTAGAGAAACTATCATTATTTATATGGGGTACAGATTCTTATGAGAAGATAATCACAGAAAATGTGACTAAAACAGTTTAATATATTTATAATAATAACCTAAAAATAATTCCTTTTAAAATTATTCCCTATAATAATAATTTTAAAATAAACCAATATAGGAAACACACAAAATTAAAATCATCACAATTTTTCAAAGTATAAAATTAAAACTAAAAATGAATAATATTGGGGAATAGAGACAGAACATAAATAATAAATTATTCTTATATAATATATATACTATATATTAAACTAGATGTGACGATTTTCATTATACTGCTAACAGAAAACTTTGTATAACTATTGTAGTTTAAGGAATTATTGACTATGTTTTATTCAGATAATGAAGTAAATTTGTGGTTCTGACAAATTATATGGTTCTTTTTTGCAGTTATCTAAATGCAGCCCTGAAGCTTCTGCAGACGGTCCATTTGAAAACTACTATGAAGAGGACTATCTTATAATTGATGGGATAAAATTAAAAGCTGGAGAATGTATTGAGAATATAACAAACAAGTTTAAAGAAATAGATGCTTTAATGTCTGAATTTTAGAGCCTTATATATATTTTCAAAAGTGAATTTGGAAAACATTGACATCTTTTTATTTTCTTGAAGTCAAAACTTAAAGATATTTAGTAAAATAGGTATACATTATACCAAAACTAATATTTAAAATAACTTTCTACTTTATATTTTGTGAATGTCCATGGTTTCAAGAAAGTGTTAAAATTAGAATTTAAAAACTCCTAATGTTTTTGTTGGTAGTATTTTTTCTTCTTTGCTCTGACTTTAAATATTTTATGAGACTTACCTCACAAGCACTTGCTTTACACTGGTCATGTAGGCCCTTTCTTCAAATGTGGCGGTTAAAATGGCTGGCAAAACTGTTTCAATTCTTAGCGATTCAAATCTAGTATTATTAGAGAATATATACTTGTAGTGGCATTAAACTATTATAAAATAAAGGAAATGTTTTTAAAAAGGTAATATAACAGAGTTGGAACTTTTCTTAAAAAAACAAAATGTCAATTGTCTCATTATATTGGAACAGTCATTTCAACCATGATTCCTAAAACTAACTGCTTAACAGAGATGTCTGAGAGACTTTAGAAGATCAGAATCCTGGACTAAGTCAGTGTCTCTGTAAGTAAAGATTGGAAAATGTAATTAAAATGTATAGAGGGAAGTTAATACAACTATATGGGAAAATACAACTATATGGAAAAATAAAAAGTACATCATTTTTAAGGGATTCTCATGAACAGTTTCTGTGGGTGTCCTTCTAGATCTTCTTCTATGTGCATCACAAGGTACAGGCATGCACACCCATCTCTAGCCCCAACTCTGGCTCTCTCTGTGCCTCTTTTTCTCTGGGGTGTGTGTAGGGGGGAAAGGGGAGTGACATTGTAAGCACATAAAAAACAAAGCCAAAACTTGAGGAGAGAAAAAAAATATGCATGAGAGCATCTGTGTCCTGCTCTTGGTTGAATTAGCTGGAGTGATGTTTGATGGCGAGAAGGAAAGCCACAGCAAATCAGGAGGATCATCTACACATACCAAAAAACTTAGAATATCTCTTGAAAACTCTAAGGACTAATTGAAGAAATATAAACAGTGGAATCTCTTTGACATTTCAGAAAACTCAGATCTGCTACAGTGTGGAGAATGGAGAGAAAGTGTAATTTTAGAGGCCAGGGGCAGGTCAGGAGACTACTTGAGGAATTTCGTGTGAAAAGACAAGAGTCTGAATTATGTTGGTGCTTCGGTAGAGATAAGTGGGTAGATTCCAATTAAATTAAAATAAATGGAGTATAGGATTTGGAGGTTGAATGTAGTTGTGAGACAGAGGGGAAGAAATCAAGGATGACTCCAGGTTTCTGGTGTTCACAATGGTGAGACAGGAATCCATACAGATTAGTTACAAGTCTCATCCAAGCTGTGTGAGTTTGGCAGAAATTCTAAGCTATTCATGCTTTGATAGAAATTGCATTTTCGACTACGCTGAGAACCATAGTGATGAGGAATAGTCTCTCAACGCATTGTCTTTAAATTCTAAGTGGTATAAAATAGTGAAGGCTAAGGCCTCTGCTTTTTTTTTTAAAGCTGAATTTACTTCATAGCATTTTAGAAAAGCCTTTCCTTTCTTTCTTGGCAGTATATTTACAGCTTACAAGATGTCTCAAGAAGTAATTGATCACATTTTTTTTGTTTCTGCATAGTATCAACTATAAAAATTACAACAATTGTATTATAGAAAGACTTCATCCATAATTTAAGCGTTTTGTATAAACCCCCACCAGGGAGATAAATTAGATACCTTGCAGCTAATCACACTTGGTGGAACAGCCAGTGCTTATCAATGTCAGATTCCATAGGCATGGTATTGAAATGTTTAGACTAGATTCATCTGTATCATGATCTGAGTCATAGAAGTCTGCAATTTCCATTGAGGTCTTTGTGCACTAGAGCTTCTCAAAACTATTCTGAAAACAAACATTTAGGTTAGGCTGGCTTTGTCTGCAGAGAAGTAGCAGTCCATATCCAAGAAGAAGCTAGGAAACCTTTCTAGGTATGAGAATGTAGGCTTTCACATTTTGAGGTAAAAATACTCAGGATAAAAGGTGAAGGAGTTGTCAACTAACATTTTTGTCCTCAGGGTTGAGAATCATGCCTGGCTGGCAACTTCCTGCTAGTAAAATAGCCCATGTTCAGAGGAAAGTCATAGAACACAGACGAGCACATACCAGTAAGACTATGGATACAGAATGCC